TAAACAAGTAGATAAATTGTATAAAACATAGATTTTCTAATTTCAATGGAAAATGTTTTCTAATTTCAAAAAAATTAGATAATAATTGTTGCAAAAAGCTCATTATCATAGTATTTTTACAGTACCAAATTTTTACCTCTAATGTTAGATTATTGTACAAGTTGGAGTTCACTATAATGTAATTTATCAATCAGTTTTTATTCAAAAACTTTATTTGTTAAAATTATATTTTTTTGTGAAAAATTATTATTTGACTTTTATTACTAAAACGGCGTAAGGGATTTTCAAACAAAATAAATCCCATTCCCCTATTCCAAACAGGGGATAGGGATAGGGGGTACGTCATTTTTCAGCTTTTTTCCATGGCCCCGACCATAATACTGGCGTCCTAGGGTCAGTATTATTGCCAGTCCTGGCCAACCCCTAGTCCCTTTTTTTTATACCAAATCATCTTCACCCTTACCATTGTTTTGACCTTTCAATTCTAAGATCTTCGATGATTATATGAGTTAGGAAAATTCACCTCTTAGAAAAGTGCATCATCACCATAAAGTTAGATATTGTTGGGTTTTCTGTAAAATAAATGTGTTCCTAATTGTTTCCAAAAAACTGCATTTTAGAAAGAGTCATTTATATTTTTATAGATATCTTATATTTTGATAAATATTATTATAAAATTTTTGAAGGATCAATAATTTATATTTTTCGAAATTTATAATAAACCTATTTATAAATTATGAATATTACTTTAGAATAATTTATAATTGGTATTATTATCGTCCCTCTAAATTGCATAATCACAATATTTTAGTGCTGAATCAAAATTTTTTAATAGGTATAAAGTATTGGCTTTAAAATTAAAGTTTAGTAATTACCTTTACCAATAAAATAATCTGCTTGTTCTGGGTTTTTCTGAATAGCTGAATCATAATACTCCAATGCTTCTTCAAATCTATTCATTTTTTCTAATGCAATCGCTAAACAAATATATACATCATTAAATTATACCTTTACATTTATAAAAATCGGCATCTTCTGGGTTTTTCTGAATAGCTGTATCATAATACTCCAATGCTTCTTCAAATCTATTCATTTTTTCTAATGCAATCGCTAAACAAATATATACATCATTAAATTATACCTTTGCATTTATAAAAATCGGCATCTTCTGGGTTTTTCTGAATAGCTGTATCATAATACTCCAATGCTTCTTCAAATCTATTCATTTTTTCTAATGCAATCGCTAAACAAATATATACATCATTAAATTATACCTTTGCATTTATAAAAATCGGCATCTTCTGGGTTTTTCTGAATAGCTGTATCATAATACTCCAATGCTTCTTCAAATCTATTCATTTTTTCTAATGCAATCGCTAAACAAATATATACATCATTAAATTATACCTTTGCATTTATAAAAATCGGCATCTTCTGGGTTTTTCTGAATAGCTGTATCATAATACTCCAATGCTTCTTCAAATCTATTCATTTTTTCTAATGCAATCGCTAAACAAATATATACATCATTAAATTATACCTTTGCATTTATAAAAATCGGCATCTTCTGGGTTTTTCTGAATAGCTGTATCATAATACTCCAATGCTTCTTCAAATCTATTCATTTTTTCTAATGCAATCGCTAAACAAATATATACATCATTAAATTATACCTTTGCATTTATAAAAATCGGCATCTTCTGGGTTTTTCTGAATAGCTGTATCATAATACTCCAATGCTTCTTCAAATCTATTCATTTTTTCTAATGCAATCGCTAAACAAATATATACATCATTAAATTATACCTTTGCATTTATAAAAATCGGCATCTTCTGGGTTTTTCTGAATAGCTGTATCATAATACTCCAATGCTTCTTCAAATCTATTCATTTTTTCTAATGCAATCGCTAAACAAATATATACATCATTAAATTATACCTTTGCATTTATAAAAATCGGCATCTTCTGGGTTTTTCTGAATAGCTGTATCATAATACTCCAATGCTTCTTCAAATCTATTCATTTTTTCTAATGCAATCGCTAAACAAATATATACATCATTAAATTATACCTTTGCATTTATAAAAATCGGCATCTTCTGGGTTTTTCTGAATAGCTGTATCATAATACTCCAATGCTTCTTCAAATCTATTCATTTTTTCTAATGCAATCGCTAAACAAATATATACATCATTAAATTATACCTTTGCATTTATAAAAATCGGCATCTTCTGGGTTTTTCTGAATAGCTGTATCATAATACTCCAATGCTTCTTCAAATCTATTCATTTTTTCTAATGCAATCGCTAAACAAATATATACATCATTAAATTATACCTTTGCATTTATAAAAATCGGCATCTTCTGGGTTTTTCTGAATAGCTGTATCATAATACTCCAATGCTTCTTCAAATCTATTCATTTTTTCTAATGCAATCGCTAAACAAATATATACATCATTAAATTATACCTTTGCATTTATAAAAATCGGCATCTTCTGGGTTTTTCTGAATAGCTGTATCATAATACTCCAATGCTTCTTCAAATCTATTCATTTTTTCTAATGCAATCGCTAAACAAATATATACATCATTAAATTATACCTTTGCATTTATAAAAATCGGCATCTTCTGGGTTTTTCTGAATAGCTGTATCATAATACTCCAATGCTTCTTCAAATCTATTCATTTTTTCTAATGCAATCGCTAAACAAATATATACATCATTAAATTATACCTTTGCATTTATAAAAATCGGCATCTTCTGGGTTTTTCTGAATAGCTGTATCATAATACTCCAATGCTTCTTCAAATCTATTCATTTTTTCTAATGCAATCGCTAAACAAATATATACATCATTAAATTATACCTTTGCATTTATAAAAATCGGCATCTTCTGGGTTTTTCTGAATAGCTGTATCATAATACTCCAATGCTTCTTCAAATCTATTCATTTTTTCTAATGCAATCGCTAAACAAATATATACATCATTAAATTATACCTTTGCATTTATAAAAATCGGCATCTTCTGGGTTTTTCTGAATAGCTGTATCATAATACTCCAATGCTTCTTCAAATCTATTCATTTTTTCTAATGCAATCGCTAAACAAATATATACATCATTAAATTATACCTTTACATTTATAAAAATCGGCATCTTCTGGGTTTTTCTGAATAGCTGAATCATAATACTCCAATGCTTCTTCAAATCTATTCATTTTTTCTAATGCAATCGCTAAACAAATATATACATCATTAAATTATACCTTTACATTTATAAAAATCTGCATCTTCTGGGTTTTTCTGAATAGCTGAATCATAATACTCCAATGCTTCTTCAAATCTATTCATTTTTAATAAAGCATTAGCTATAACAATATTTTTCATTTTTACCTTTTTTATAATAATTTTCTGAATTTTAAGAATCTCTATCAATCAAGTAATCTAAAAAGTTTAGCGTGAAAAAATTTATATTTGAATTTTCACAAATATCCTAAAAATATTCATTATTTTTTTTAATATTATTAGACACCTGTTTATGCAAATGAAAATTGTTATTATTTTACTTGTCTTGTCTCTCACTTTTTATCACTTTTTTATTATATTTTGCATTAAATGATTATTTTAGGTATTTCAAACTTTTCATTTATTATTTTTTATTACAAAGATTCCAAATATCCTTATATCTCTTTTTTTGAATATTTAATATCTAAAACCCCTTTTTATTTTTTTTTTGCTTTCTGTTGATTATTTTACTAAATAATTTTTAACTTTGAATCATCTATTATGCAGTTTATTATTGACTTTATATATTAAGATTAAGAATCCTCTCTAAATAACCAAAAATATCAATGAACCGATTGAATGATTTATTTTCAATCGATTTCCTTACTAATTCTGAGTTAAACTTATTTTAATTCATTATTTTTTTCTAAACAATTTCTAAAACTGATTATTAAATTTATTATTAGAATTTTTTGATAATTTTGAAATTTAGAATGCAAAAGAAGATGGGTCATTGAGCTCAAGAATGTAACTTATTAAATTTTATATACTTGTATTAATATGTAAAAGTACATTAGCACATTATTTTTTTACTTAAAATGTCAATCAAGTTCTAAACTAAATTAAGAAAATAATATCTTAATTGCAGATTATATTGATTAATTTAAAAAATTTATTTTATACATATCATACTTCTAAGTAAAAATAATTATTAACAATATGATTTTGAATTTATTTATTGTGATAATCAAATTCTTTTCTAATAAAAAAATTACTACCTGTAGACTGTTATTAGGTTTTCTTTCTCCTGAAAAAAGGTATGCTACATCAAATTAGTGAATTTAATTGTTGAATATAGTTATACACTAGATAGCTTGTGGAAATTATTTGGTTAAAATGGGAATATCTAATAAATTCTTAAAGTTTTGAAAATTAATTTGTTAAATCTCAAAATACTTTTTCCAATTCCTTAAAACAAAAATGTAAATAAAACGAAGAAGTTTAAATTAACTTTATTTTCTATAAATCCCTAATTAATTATATTGTTTAAACTAAAGATATATTTCTAAAATTCTAAAATAATAAAATTTCAAAAATTTTAGCTTGGTTAATAATTAAATAAATTAACAATATCCATATTATTTGCAACAATTAACTCTGTTATAATTTTTAATTATATTTTATCATGAAAAAAATTTTTTCTTATAAACAATTTGAGACTTTGATTGTGAAATTCATATTTTATGATGTTCATAAGTAATTAATTTGATGAATTAATCACTTAACATAATGAATTTCAAAATTATCTAAAGAAATTTTTTAATTTGATTAAAATTTCATAGATTCAATTTTAAAACAAATATTCAACGAAGTTCTTAATTTATTTAAATATTATTTAATTAAGTTATGATGAATAATGTTGAACAGTTATTATGGGTATCATTATTTTCCGTTAACTTTATCAGTAGCTGAATTAGGTGTGAATGCACAAACAACTTTATTTGTACCATTTAATCTTTCTCCATTACATGCTTCTTGTATTACAAACACATTTTCACCAGGAATATCATCACCACAAGCAGAATTATTTATACACTCATCTATATCTTCAAATTACATTGATCTACATTATTTGGTTTTTGTAGTTTAACCAATAGGGTAAAGAAGATATATGTACAATCTGCTTCGCCGTAACATCCAGATCATATAACTTGGGCAATGTTAAAGAGGATACAGTTAGTTCCATCGGTTTTATTGGAACTGTAAATTGGCTGTTAATGGAGCTACAGTTTTTGGTAATTGAGGCTATATCAGATAAAAAATATATTAAATATAATTTTATAGCGAGTCTCCATTTACTAGATGAAAGACTTGTGATTACTTTTTTTATCCAAATAGTAGTGGTCTTTATTAAAAAGTGACTGATTCAACTAGTTTAACTAAAGTGGCATCACAATCTTGTGCTAATTAGAAAATAGATTCAACTAAGATAGAAGCATAGAAGAAAATCATTACATTGTCATTGTCTTAAGACAAACTGCTATTTTCAAACTAGATGTTAAAATGGCTGTGACAATAATGGAATACATTTGTCACATCATTTATTGCTTGACGATAATGGGGAAGCGTTGCTCTTACTAGAGCCAACACAAAAAATAATTTCTTTGAGCAAGAATAGGTTCAACTTGTGATGCTGCAACATGCGAGGATATTCAAAACCTGTAAAGTTAGGGAGATTGTGATAATCAAATCTGTCAATTTAAATAAAATAACATCTACACTCAATTGTGCCATCAGTTTCACTGTAGTACCTTGCACACAAAATGAACATAAAAATATGCTGGTGATACTTGTATGTACGATGCAACTATAAAAATTCACATATTGTAATATCAAAGTTGATACTAAATTTGATAATTGCACTTATACATCAGGTGTATTTGACTATTGAGATTATAAATGCTTTGATATTACTGATTCAACATCATAAATTTGATTTGATTAGGAGCTTTTGATAGGAAATAAACATATATTTTAGAAACCTTTATAATCCAACTTATGGTTGTGCTAAAGTTTCAGCATCAGGAAAAGATTAGAAAGCCTATTGTAATTATTAACATCCTTATAAAGGTATAAATGAATGTGCCAATTTCTTAAGATAAGAAAATAAAAATGAAGCAACTTAGAGCAAGAGTTTGAAAGATTCTACAAAAAAACTACACATAAACAATGATATAAATGCCAAAATGCAAAGCCTAAGTCTATTCAGATAATGATAATGATGAAACTGAATGCACAAATGATGTTGGTAGTTGAAAAAATTAATTAAACATTTATAAAAAAACTACTAATAGTATTAGTAGAAATATAAAATGTAAAAGTCATAAATGTTGTATAAGTACCTAATATTTAATCTAAGCTCTATTTGTCCATAGTGATTTAAATAATATAATCCTGCTTTCAAGAATCTTCAAGATGATTTGTAAATATTACAATTTTAATGACTATATGGATTAGTGATATAGCATTTAATAAATGTGTCTTGATCACGTTTTAAATAGGTACACAAGGTTGCATTAAAAAACACAACTTATTCCAATACTAATACATTCTTGAATCCATACTTCACAAGTTGAATTATCTTGTGCTTGGCCATTTTTGAACAGTATCTTTGTATAAAGTTGTTTCTATAGCTAATGCTGTATTTGTTGCAAAAATCTTGGATAAGCTAAATCTCTTTTTTTCTTTAATTTTTACCATCAAATTTGGTAAAACAAGAATCGACTCTATTTTATATGTAGTTAATTTGTCTAATTATATCGATTTTTTATAAATAAATTATTGAAAATTGCAAAATCATGATATTTACTATCTCAAAACAAACCAAGCATAATCCCATCGTACTTACTTTATTTGTCCAAATTCAGGGTAGTTAAAGTTATAGAGATGGATACAAGGATGCCTTTTGAATTAACTTCCCAACAATCGCCATAATATTCCAAAAAACAGTAATGATTAGTAAATTTTGTATAATAAATGCATTCATAAAATATTATTTTTCCATATTGATTTATAGAAGCGAATTTATGCAAGATTAGGAGGAAAATTATCAATATATTATTCTCTCTTCCAATCATCTCAATTCTTAGATTTTTACAGATTTCAGTTTAAATTTAACTAAAATATATATTATAGAATGCTAATCAATAGATAAATTAATCTTAGATTTCAACCATTTAATCTTTTTTTAATTTATATTTAATGATTCTTTTAAATTCAAATTAAAACAGCCAAAGTTATATTAATATTTTGAATAAATCAAAAAAAATAAATTACTAATTGAAAATAATGTAATTAGGAATATTCAATTCATTTTTTGTTACTTTTCTTCCCTAACTCTTCNTGGTTGTGCTAAAGTTTCAGCATCAGGAAAAGATTAGAAAGCCTATTGTAATTATTAACATCCTTATAAAGGTATAAATGAATGTGCCAATTTCTTAAGATAAGAAAATAAAAATGAAGCAACTTAGAGCAAGAGTTTGAAAGATTCTACAAAAAAACTACACATAAACAATGATATAAATGCCAAAATGCAAAGCCTAAGTCTATTCAGATAATGATAATGATGAAACTGAATGCACAAATGATGTTGGTAGTTGAAAAAATTAATTAAACATTTATAAAAAAACTACTAATAGTATTAGTAGAAATATAAAATGTAAAAGTCATAAATGTTGTATAAGTACCTAATATTTAATCTAAGCTCTATTTGTCCATAGTGATTTAAATAATATAATCCTGCTTTCAAGAATCTTCAAGATGATTTGTAAATATTACAATTTTAATGACTATATGGATTAGTGATATAGCATTTAATAAATGTGTCTTGATCACGTTTTAAATAGGTACACAAGGTTGCATTAAAAAACACAACTTATTCCAATACTAATACATTCTTGAATCCATACTTCACAAGTTGAATTATCTTGTGCTTGGCCATTTTTGAACAGTATCTTTGTATAAAGTTGTTTCTATAGCTAATGCTGTATTTGTTGCAAAAATCTTGGATAAGCTAAATCTCTTTTTTTCTTTAATTTTTACCATCAAATTTGGTAAAACAAGAATCGACTCTATTTTATATGTAGTTAATTTGTCTAATTATATCGATTTTTTATAAATAAATTATTGAAAATTGCAAAATCATGATATTTACTATCTCAAAACAAACCAAGCATAATCCCATCGTACTTACTTTATTTGTCCAAATTCAGGGTAGTTAAAGTTATAGAGATGGATACAAGGATGCCTTTTGAATTAACTTCCCAACAATCGCCATAATATTCCAAAAAACAGTAATGATTAGTAAATTTTGTATAATAAATGCATTCATAAAATATTATTTTTCCATATTGATTTATAGAAGCGAATTTATGCAAGATTAGGAGGAAAATTATCAATATATTATTCTCTCTTCCAATCATCTCAATTCTTAGATTTTTACAGATTTCAGTTTAAATTTAACTAAAATATATATTATAGAATGCTAATCAATAGATAAATTAATCTTAGATTTCAACCATTTAATCTTTTTTTAATTTATATTTAATGATTCTTTTAAATTCAAATTAAAACAGCCAAAGTTATATTAATATTTTGAATAAATCAAAAAAAATAAATTACTAATTGAAAATAATGTAATTAGGAATATTCAATTCATTTTTTGTTACTTTTCTTCCCTAACTCTTCCTTTCTTTAATTATATTCATAATTTACAATATTATTATTTGATAATTCTAATTAATTTATAAAAATAGGATTTGCTGACTTTTTAATTAGTTGAAATCTTTTCTTATTAAGAGTTTCTAATTTATAACAGGAGGTTCTATCATTTCCTAAAATTAATGTCATTATATTTAAATATATATTCTTCATCATATATTTAACCTTTATTAGTTTATCCTATCTCTATTTAATCACTGAACCATGTTCTTATACCAAATCAGCTCAAAGAGAGAGAAATTTAGCAATTGATTACTTTAATTAGTCAATTTGAATCCCTTTTTTTTCAAAATTCAAACTCTTACCTGCCCCCCTTCTACTTCTATTCAAAATTATGTTTGATTAAATTTTTATAAAATCTTAATTTTTTATTCATTTATTCATCATTCCCAAACTAATTGAATTATTTTGTAATCTTCATTTTTATTGAGTGACTTAAAAATTTTTGGGTGCTTGATTAAATAAATTTGTATTAAAGTACCTTAAATTACTCCTCGTGTAATTTCTATATAGATAATTATAGAGGCCAAATCTTAGGTTAATAAAATAAAATTCTATTGACTATAGTATCTAAATTAACCATAGTTATATCATTTATTCAATATCTTCTCTTTTAGCAAAATATTTAAATCATAATTCCAACTAAATATTCTAGTTATGTAGATTAATAGTTTATCATTTCAAAGGATATATAAAATGATGAATTATAATTGAATTCTTTTTCTTTGTCCTTATTAAATAAATTATTCTGAAAGCAAAAAATTCTTTAAACACTTATCAATTTTTTCAAAAGAAAACTTCCTGAGTTAATAGTCCATTTTCCAAGCCATTAAGTCAATTATTAGTTGACTAGTATTTTTAGAAATTATTTTTTTTCTATTAGTAAATTTTGAGAAAAATCTATAAGAGTGCAAAGTATTGTGAATTTGATTTACTTGCTAATAGTATTTCAGTAATTATTAAATGAAAATCTAAATGCTTTAGAAACAAAAATTTTGTCAGACTAATATAATTTTAATAAATCAATTTTAAAACACAAAATTACTCTATTTTTTTCTAAATAATGATAAAAATTCATTAATTAAAAATTTTTATGAGACTTAATGATTCAAGACAAATTTGGAGTATGTATTTTTTGAGAATCAATAAACCTTTAAATACAATAAATCAGAAAGTGAAACCTTTGATCTATTATATTAAATTTTCGATAGGTGAAAAACACAGAAGATTTATCATAACAAGTTACTCAATCAAAATTAGAGTTTAGTTTATAGAATGTATTGATTTAGATTTCTATTGGTATCTCATTTATAGTTATGATAAGCATATGAACCGAGATAATGCTAAAAAAATTCTCAAGAATAAATGGCAAAATATTTACTATTTATAAAGAAGCTCAAAGAAAATACATGAGAAATCAAGGACTTTTAAATTTAACACCTAATGATATTGAAAAAATTCTTACAACTTTAATATTCCCTCAAACGAATCATGTATCTATTTTAACCATAAGCTTACTGAAAAAGCTCAAGTCTGATAACCACACTACTTGGAATATTTCATGTATGTTATATTAGTTACTTAAGGGTAGAATATCGTAGTCATATTTTTCATATAAGTCTCGGTAGATATATGGAATAAGAGATGGGATTCTATAACAACACATTAAGAAATTTAAATCAATTTGTTTTCTGAAAAGTATCACACAATAATGGTGTTTCTTCTTAATGTGTTCTTAAATAATTCAATAATAATCTCCATAATTCTTACAGAATAGATGATCTTAATGACGAATGCACTATTGTTAAAAGTAAATTATAAATATTCTTATACCTATATTGGGCTTACAAGATTAAAAACAAAAATTACACAATTCTATCTAGATAATATTTCAAAAAACAAAGTTATGTATTCTATATAGTATTACTTAATGTCTTCTCAGCAATAAATCCCAAAATATGAGAATTCTTTTCTTGCCATATAATAAGTATGACATTTCTTATCTCTCCTCTCAACTTTCTAAATCCTCATATTCCATTTTTAATATATCTATGAAAAAATAATTTATTCCTTCTCTTTTGAATCATCTCTTTGAGAATGAATCAAATTCTGAACATTATTCATCAATCTCTAACTTATTTATGGAAAAGATGTTTTAATCATCTATTTGTGTATTTCTTGATTTTTATAAAGTTGTTCTATAAAAGGTTTATATAACTAAGTGAAATTTTTAAACATCCTGCAAAACCACTTTACAATCTTATTTAATGACATTCCATTAATTAAAATATAACAATAATAAATTTATAACTAATATTTTCTAGAAAAAAATATGTAAGTTTAGAATGTTTTTATTTACTCAATAAAA